GTGGGTGTGGGTGTGGGTGTGTGATGTGAGTGTGAGTGTGGGTGTGGGTGTGTGATGTGAGTGTGGTTGTGTGATGTGGGTGTGGGTTTTCTGAAACTGTCGGTTACTGCGGTTTTCGCCGCTTTTCAAAAATCAAATAAACGGTCTGGCCTTTGCGGTTACTTACAACCGGTGGAAACAGCAATTTTTTTAGACCACGGTACACTTCGGTTAATCTAAGCATGCCTGAGTCAAGTGGCCTGGCTCAGGATGCTAGACCCACCTGGAGTATTCCCAAAGTCAAGATGAGTTATTCTTCGATGGGCGATGTAGTGAACTTTTACAAGTCCCATTACCACAATATCACTTTGCACTGAGAGATGAACTAACAAATGTGGTGCAAGTTTCTTAAGAACAACGTACAGTGCAAAAGAAATGGCACAAATATCAATCCCTATTTCTCTTCGACAAAGGGGTACTGAACGAAAACCTTTTCTACGGAAAGATAAAGCTTTTTCTCGTCTTTCCAAACATATATAACTTATTTTTATAATACATTAATAAATGAAATGACATAAGAAAAAGAGAGAAACCCTCACGCAATAAATTTGTAATTTTTATATAAAATAGTCAAAAACATCTTGTTAGACAATAATTAGTTCGATTTTTATGGACCCATTAAAAAGATCTTGTAAAATGGTACTTACTTTGAATTTTATGAAATCGGTAAAAACATCTTGTGAAACAACAGTTTATTATAATTAACTATCATCTACAAGATGTTTTTGACCATTTCATATAAAAATTACAAATTTATTGCTTGCCTACTTCTTCTTCTTCCCGTCTCGCTTTATTGAGCAATGTGTGACAAATATGAATCATATACTGTTCGAAAGAAGAAAAAATTTTCTATCAACTTATAAAAAAAAAATATTCTTTTCAGAACCTATGTATCGAAGAGATATAAGGATTGACATTTTCATGCGGTCCTTTCATGCAAAAGTGCAAATTCTTTTCAAGGGTGGTTCTTTTTTCCGTTGCGTCGTTTCGTTTATGAACGTGTTATAAAAACAAGTTATATACAGTTCGAAAGAGAAGCAAAAGCTCTATCTTGTGGTAAAAAAAGGTTTTCGTTCAGCACTCTTTTATTGAAGAGAAATAGGGATCGACATGTATGCCATTACTTTTGCGTCATACATTAGTTGTGCACGACTAGTGGACGGAAGTTACCAATACGTTACTAGATAACTGGTAATGGATCCGTTATCAGTTACCTGGTAACGTAACTGTTTGGTAACGGTAACTTCAACATATACTGCACAAAGTGTGTAGAGACACTACTGAACAGTATATGCGCATCAATATGAAAAACCACGAGGCCTGGGCAATATCTCTCAAAATCGAGAAACTATTCCACTTATAGCAGAAATCTTTTACCTTACACAAAGTCAGGCAGAAACGGTTTTTATAATGAAACATAACCCATCACTAAATATTTTCGATTAGACACGCATTAACCATATCTGCCCTCACAAGCAGAAATGTATAAAATGTAAGGAGAAATCGATTAGATTATTCATCTAACATAAGGAGAGATGAATCAAATTATTTTTCGAGTATGAAGTGAAGTACTAGTAGCAATGGGTTTTTTACAGCAGGAATATAAATGCTTGTAGCAGAAATCTTTCATCTATTTCAATGTTAATAAGGCGAAGCGAAGAATAAAAAATAGGACGTGGAGCAGAGATTGATGGATATATGCTTGTATTCTTTCGCTCTGTTTCTTCTTGCTAAAGTAGTTGTTTATGGTAAGTTAAACGTGCTTTATATAGGTTTATATTCTTTCTTTCCATTTCTCCTGGACAAATATGACCTTTCGTGGGATGAGCTATTTCTCCTTAAATGGGAACGATTTTTTCATCGATTGGTCCAATCCTCCACTGGTAAAAACCGCGGCTTGTTACGTGGAAACCACGATTTTATGATAAACTATCTCTACAAAAAGAACTAATGGCATGAAACGTGACTACCTAAGTAAACAAAAAATAAGTGAAGATGGGCAACATGACTCGTCCGAAAAGCCCGCAATATCCGTCAGATCTAGTCTGAAATGTCCTCCATATCCGTCATGACTAGTCACCATAACAAGAAATGTTCCGGGTGTGGGTGTAGACGTGAGTGTGGATGGCGTGTGGGTGTGGGCAACTGATCGGATGTTGATGAGCGTGCTTGATTGTGATTGTGGGTAGGTGGATGCGTGTAGATGTGAGTCTCCCATACGTCAATCCACATCCACCCACACCCATACACTCACAAACCCCACACCCATACTCACACTCACACCTCACATCGGGCATCATCGTGGAGCATGCTCTGATATATTCTCTCTGGAGATTTATGTGCAATGGCTTACAACTCTCGCTCTATGTAAACAATTGAGGCAGCACTGCTTTCACAGACCTAGTATCGTAGTTCAGAAAATCGTAGATATCTAGAAGGTAATTCGTTCGGCGGTTACTGCAAGTTGATACACGGATATGGTTGGAAGACAGATTCCAATGAAAATATCCCGCGTGTCTACGAACTGCCACAGGAACTCATCACTAGAATATGTGGAAAAGTTACAGAATCTTTTTGCAGGCGAACTTATCAATCACAAACGATTCATTTTCTCCCGTTCACCGAACATACTTAACAAAAATCTGTTGAGATCAGCTGCTTTCTGCTCATCCGTCATCTGTAGATAGCATAAACTCTGAAATTCGTGAAAAACACCTCACTTTCAAGTAGATTGCTTACCTGTGATATACTGCCGAGATACAGCCAGATGCGAAACAAGGATCCCAATGAATCCATCGTACAATTTCACTCTTTTATAGTTGCACGCCATCAACAAACTGTTGCCACTTCAAACAAAACAACAACGGCTTCTCTGTACACAAATGCAACTGCACTTTTTCTTGCCGGGTGAAGAAAAAAAGCAGCTTTGTATTTTTTTTTACGCACTCTTATTCATGTGAAGCAGCTCAAGTAGCCAACTTCGATAATGCAAAGAGCCGAAAGTAATGTATTCGATGGAATAAATGCGACGCAAAAATAAGAAAAAAAAACCACATTCTACTTTATTATGTTTCGAGTTGTTTACCGACAATACGCTCCTACCAAACCATTTTTCTCTTCATGCAACCGACAGACCACAATCACAACGTTTCGTTAAAGAGTAATCTACCAACATGCAATATGAAACAGTTGCGGGTGAGGATGTGAGGTTTTGGTGTGGGACGGTAGTGTGGGATTAGGGTGAGGCTAAAGGTGGGGGTGAGGATGTGAGAGTGAGGGTGGGTAGAAGTCATGACGACGCGTTTCAACTGTCGCTCACACAGTCTTCCTTAGGTGGCTTGAGGTTGAGGGTAAGGGTGAGGGTGAGGGTGAGGGTAAGGGTGAGGGTAAGGGTGAGGGTGAGGGT